TCCATCATTTGGTGTGTATGAATGTCTGTCAGGGCAAACAGGGTTTATTGGTAAATTAACACAGTTATACAATCAGTTGGCTGATGTAATTCTATTGGTGGAAGTACACTATCCAGCTCATCATCTTGACTATCCTGGGTCACATGGTGGGATTGCTTGGGATGTTGGTGATGTTGAAATGTCAAACTCCCACAACATAACATTGCTATATTCTTTGTTTATACCTCCTTCCCGTAGATCATTAGGGTCGAAGAACTACATGATATGAAATAAAAATACGTTTAATACTGCTGTATTTATACAACATAGGAGCATTTTTATATTTCTATTTTTATATAAAAATCATCTCACCTTAGAAACACAACTAGAGTGAATTTGTACCAGTGGAGGACTACCGCAATCAGCGAACATTTCATCAATTTTTCTCCCGTTAACCACAGCTTGACAAAGGACTATTCGAACTATCTGTATTAAAAACTATAAACATGAACCTCACGTCCTCACGACATTCAAGTTCATCACACGGTAATTCTTCCGGAATCAAGATTAAAGCCTGTTTTGACACACAGTGAACACACAGAAGCTCGTGTCCACCCAAAAACGAAGCTTTCTTTCCATGCATAGTGCAAAAGTCCACCATTTTACAATTTTTTTTCGATAAATCTTTTCCGAATCTTTTGAAACCTCGACGTGTAAACACAGCGAAAGCCGAACGAACAATGACGGCGCAGAGCGAGAAATCGATGTGTAAAAAACCGCGCCTGACCGCGTTGCATGCCGGTATAGTCCTCACTCCTCCTCTGCCCTAGATACTAATTAAAATTGAAAAATGTGGTCATTGTTTTTCTTTCATTTATTGCGATATTATCGACTATCGTGATAGTTTCCTTGACAATAATCGTGAGATGATTTTTTAAATATCGCCCAACCCTACTCATGTGACGTGTCACAGTGAAAAGCCTAAGCTATTTTTGGCACAACTGTCATGTTTTGATGTGCCTCCGTGCATGTTTCAATATTTCCGAGCCCATGATAATACGTTCTAGTCACAAAAAGTATGAAATTCAATATAAACAAGTTTGGCCGCTCTTACAATATTGCGAGCTTGTTGTTATTACAACGTTCAAATTTTAAAAATAAACGTTGAAGCCACGCCTTAGAAACGTCGAAAATCTGCCTAGAAACGTCATTGTACAACTGTTAAAACTAACACGACAACTATTCGCATTTCACGGTCTACCTGAATCCGCAGTAATGACTTGCAAATTTCCTTCATGGAAATTCCAATCTTAAATGTGGAAACACTGCTTTGTATTCAAATTCAAAGTTCCAAACCCCAGAAACGTACTCTTATCCCTACTATCAGATTTTTGCCAATTTCAATTTCCCATCATTAGAAACTTAAACAAGTACATAACTATGGTACTCACAAACCTGACAAAAAGATAGGCTTCTGTTCTTTTCTTGATTTTTCAAATGCTTCTTCCCCCCAAGGATACCTTGAAAATAAGAAATTGTCCAAACTTTAAACCTGCATTAACCCGTTATAAGCTGCAAAGCACCCATATGCACCCAACTTATCCATTTACTCTGTCTAACACCAGACAATTTTACTCATCAAGGGGAGAGTCTTATACATTAATGGTTAACAGAGCCCTTTTAGGGTGGGTGGTTTTATGCCCGGCACACAGAGCTTACATTCCATTCTGGCCCACAAAAATGCATTTGCCTCCCCTTTGGACAACTCCCACAAGTCCGACAAAATATGTCACATTCCGAGTCACATTCCAGTCTCATCCATTTAATTAAGAATATGCAATTTTCAAAAGTTAAGTGTACAAGCAAACAAACAACAGTGCCAATTAAACTCACCAGTCTACAGGATTATAAGCATGCTGCAGAAGATATGGTGACCTTTCTTTCAACAAACGGTTGCCTTTTTTCTCCCCTCCTTGTGAACTGGTAGCCATACTTTGACGTTTTATATTTGGTTGCAAGTTTGCAACTTTAAACTTTGATCTTTCACAATGTGGCGCTCCAAGATGACTTCTGATAGCTTTGACACCAGTTGGAGAAAGTATAAATGCACGGCAAGAACGAGAAATAAGGCTTTTTGTTTGAAAATTTAAACAAAATTTGTTTGAAACTTTCCAAACGCCAAAAGAGAACATTGAAATTTTGCCGCATGTGTGTTAGCGTACGTGATACTTCATGTCACAAAAATATAGAGGAAGAAGTTGTGGTTATGGTTGGAAGGGGACGGGTTTATTGGAAAGGGGAGTTGATACAGAGGTGGGTGTAAACTGACAGGACCCCCCCCCTTCCACATACATATAGTCAGTCCAGGTGTGTCTTTCTTTGTTGTGAAGGGGTAGTCTGCATAGCAGCCGGTTTTAGGAGGACTTGCGGGCGGGAGACCGCTACGCAGGCTAGTGAAGGGGAAGCTTACTAAATTTCTTTTTGCTTACAGCAATTACTAAAAAAATTCCAGGAAGGTGGGCATATTAAAGGGGAAAGCCTATTTGACAGCAAACTGAATAGGAGATTCACAGTATAATAGTATACCGAGCGACCACATTCTCAAAGTGAACAGAAAAAACACTGTGTAAACTTTACTTTTCCAATAAAATCGCACTGTGTCCTAAATTATTAACTATTTAACTTTATATTGGACAATGGCTGTCAGTTCTACCTATAGAGTTCCAAAGCTGCTAGTTGTTCCATTAGTCTGCATTGCTTATATGGCTTGCACATGAAACACTTAAAATAGGCACGAAAATGGCAGTAAGAATTTATTTCAATTATATCATAAAAATACTTTATTTCTATCAAATTATATGTACCCAAAATTTATCTACTTATGAAATTATTTGTACAAATTACGATATTTGCGCGTACAATTTGTAACTGGTTTCAGTGATGAAAATTAAATAATAAAATTATTTTACATGTGGTGTAAAAATTTCATGCCGGTTTGTGGGGCTGATCTCCCAATATTTTTGCAGATTGCATATTCATAACCTGGAATGTTCTTTGCAACTGTATAGGGTTGAAACGATGCGGTAATGATGTTAGTAATCTGTACTTGATTATGATAATACCATTTGGTCATGCTTTTTAGTCTTCAAGTGCCTATGTCATGATTTGTGTAATTTATTATTTGTAATCATTGGTATATTTTATGAAAAAATGCAATATATCTTTAAAAGAAAATGTTCCATCTTCACAGGATTATCAGGCCTCAAAGTTATCGGATATGACATCAAACTGGGAATTGCAAATTAGATTTCTTTTGTTTCTAGCGTATAAAATTCCCGATTTGACGTCATATCCGGTAACTTTGAGGGCTGATAATCCTATGAAGATGGTATATTTTCTAATAAAGATATATTGCATTTCTTCATAAAATGCACCAAAGATAAAAAATATTTAAAATCCCAAATCATGACATGGGTACTTTCAATAATTGAGTGAGTCATGTTCTGGGAATGACAATAAATCTTTATTACCCAACCCTTGAGTTGTTTTGTTTTTCATTTGCCCAATCTTTTACTCACTCAAAATTTTGTTTACCCAACCCTTTTCTCTTCGGTGCCACCCCTCGCCATAAATAATGACCGATCCTTGTATTATTGGTCCCGGCTGTACGAAGGCCGAATAGTGATTAAAAATCCGTTGTAAGACTGGATAATTTGCTCAAGTCATGAAACTGCAGGATAAAGCAGTTTTCATGAAGCCCTTGGTAGGACCGGATAAAATTTTTATCAATTGTGATTCACGTCCGAAGACTGGATAAATTATTTATCATGCATGTCTATAAATTTTGCATGTACCCAACTACCCCCTGGCAGAATTGGTATCCCCAAATACTACCAGGTATATTACGGCATATCCACCGGTCGTAATGAGCCAGTTCCACACTTATCTATGAATAATTTTCTGTCTTTATGAGCCTCAACTTCATCCACTTTGCTAACAATTTCTTCCATGGCCTAAAACATGTACAGAACTTTCACAACGCTAGAACAGGCTGGTTTTGCGTCCTATAGTTCTGGTCAGAGTATTTCCATGTATCATTTGTGAAACAATTTTGAGAGACTGTGGAATTAAGCTGGATTTCCACTTTGCTCAATTTCTTTTGAATTCAAAAGAAACCAAGCGAAATATTTCTCTGTGAGTGGAAATCCTCCCTTACACACGCAAAAAAGCTCACATCTTGCAGCAAGTCTGCCAACAAGCCGTCCACAAGTTGTGTTCGCACTGCTTGTCCCAAATTGTCAACACGTTTGGAACAAGCTGTTAACAACTTGTAACAACCTTGTTGATATTATCAGACTTGTTGCAAACTTGTTCCAACAAGTCCGATACAGTCATGATATAACAATATTGTTACAACCTTGTGTAGTCAACCTTGTAACATTCTTGTAATATCATGACTGTATCAGACTTGTTAGAACAACCTTGTAACAAGTCTGATAATACCATCATTGTTCCAAACTTGTTACAACAACTCGGAACAAGAAGTGCGAAGACAACTTGTTGACAGCTTGTGAACAGATTTGTAAACAACTTGTTTGCAGATCTGTAACTTGTGCGTTTTTGCGCGTGTAGTCGGAAAGGTTATTGCAAGACTGTGATAACGGAAAGTTTGATTAACTTTCATTGACTTCTTTCCTCAAAAATACAAACAGCATACTTTGCTTCTTGGTAAATTCAACTCTGTCTACTTCTTGCTTTTCTATCGTCTAAAATTATTTAAACCTGGTACATGTACACAAGTAAAAATCTAACAGCTTGTCAACTGTTAAGAAGTGTTCGGAACAGGCTTGTAGCAAGCTTGTCAACAAGTTATAACGATGCTGTCATCTCATCAAGTTGCTACAAGGTTGTCACTCACAACTTGTTGACAAATTGTTGAAATGCAGGACGATAACAAGTTGTTGGAATAACTTGTAACAAGTCTGTTGAGCTCAACAACCTTGTAGCAAGTTTTCAACAAGCCGTTCATCGGTTCATAACTTGTCAACAATCTGGGAACAAGCAGTGCGAACACATCCTGTTGACAAGTTGTTGGCACAGCATTGCTACAAGTCTGCTGCAGGTTTGTTACAACTTGTGCGTTTTTACGTGCAGTGTACATGTACACAAGTAAAAATCTAACAGCTTGTCAACTGTTATAAGATGTGTTCGGAACATGCTTGTAGCAAGTTTGTCAACAAGTTGTAACAATGTTGTTATTTTATCAAGTTGCTACAAGGTTGTCACTCACAACCTGTTGACAGATCGTTGAATTGCAGGACGATAACAAGTTGTTGGAACAACTTGTAACAAGTGTGTTAAGCTCAACAACCTTGTAGCAAGTTTTCAACAAGCCGTTGAAGCCTGTCAACAAGCTGGGAACAAGCAGTGCGAACACATCCTGTTGACAAGTTCTTGGAACAGCATTGCTACAAATCTGCTGCAGGTTTGTTACAACTTGTGCGTTTTTTACGTGTGTAATGTATTTACGAACTTCAAGATAGAATGCATGAAACAACAATTATACAACATCTGGAGACAACGAATTGTTCGCTGTTTTCTTGTGTTTTCTGCAGAAACAAACATACCGAACAAGCAGAAACCATGTCGTCCACCCATTTTCGTTGACTAGCGTTGTACGTTTCAACGACTTTTCGATGTCCGTGACCTTCAAGTGATAAGAAAAAATAAAATTTTGAACACAAGAAAACCTAACAAGTCAGGAAATGTTTGAAAACTTGCATACTTGCTTGAACCGTTTTCTTCACTGCTTTTTCGTATTTGTCTAAAGCCTTGAAACAAGGAAAAATATTTTAAAAGGGTTTATGCTTTGAGCGCACACAATGCGATTTTAGTCGGACCGATTCATATATATGGTTTACATGCATGGTATTTAACAAAGTAAATGCAGAGAAGCAAGAAAACTAGCCCACAGATCAGTTGTGCCAGTTTTTCGTTTTAATTAACATGCATCCAAACCTAAAATCGTGGTATATGCGCCCGACTCATACAACAACTGTTTTTGCGTCATACCAAAGAAAGTTTGTCTGACCAGGGCCGGCGCTAGCCCTCTCCTAGCCCTCCCGACTACCTGACGACTGGGGTGCTCCACCCC